AAAAGGACAGGGAAATGGAGCTATAGAAGAGAAAAGAAAAGGACAGGGAAATGGAGCTATAGAAGAGAAAAGAGAAAAGAAAAGGAAGAAATTTAAAAGTCAGTTAAGAATAAAGAAAAAGAAAAGAGGGACAGGAAAATGGAGTTATAGAAGAGAAAAATAAGAGAGTAAATAAAAGGAAGAATTTAAAAATAACATTTAGAAAAACCGGGGTGAAAAATGGTAAAAAGAGACAGTAGCAAATAGTAAAGAACTATCAAGGGGGCTGTGGGGGGTAGAAATGAGAAACAAAAGTAGAAATAGAAAAGATAAAATTCAAATGAGTGGAGAGAAGAAGGAGGAGAAAGAACAAATAAAAACAATGAAACAACAAAAGGAAAAAACCAAACCCCAAAACAAACCAAACAGTGTTGTGTTAGTGGACCCGGAGAGGAGAAAACTCTGACAGTTCCTACAAGACCAGGAGCCCACGAGGTGGGTGTGCAGGGGCTGGCTCTAGATAGGTCATCCATGTTCAGGGCTCTCACCCTGGAAGTAGTTTTTGGGGACCCTTGATGGAGCTGGTTTCAGGGTCTGTTAGGACCACAGGACAGCTGAGGTAGGGTGACTGGTTAAATGCTAGTCTGGTGGCTCTGTGAGCTCTGTAGATCTAGAGCCTGAATCCAAACACCAAAGCTGTGCGCCAAAGTCTTGAAGCCGGGACACCTCACACTGGCATGGCTCCCAACCACTGGGGCTGGGGGTGAATGAGGGTGGGAACTGACCACATCTCTCTGGTCATCAAGGGCATATTGGGAGAAGACGGAATCGCTCCTTTTCTGTCACCTGTGTGACTCTGCTCTGCCAGGTCTCCTTCTGTTGCCAAAGCTGCTCACAAGATGGTTGTGCTGCGTATGGTCAGCGATTCACCAGGCATTCTCCTTTCCTTACCATCCTGCTCTCAACGTCTCCTCCCAGCAAGCCCTCAGTCCACTTCTCTAACCTTTCCTCTAAAGCTCAGGGTTCCAGGATTTTCATCTATGTCTGTTTCATTTGATTTCTCCCATCTTTGTTGTAGAGGGTCCATGTATTGTGTATGTCTAGTCCACCATCTTGCCAGAAGTCCAAATTTCTTAAATGATTTAAGTAAAAAAACTATGCTATTAACTGATTGAGTAATTTCATTTCCTTTAGAAATTCTTAGCACTTGCTAAAGGCTAAAGGAGTATTACCTTGCTTGGTAGATGGATAGAAGGACTGAATAGTTGAAATATACAGCAAAAAGGAAACCCAAGAGAAAATAAGCGTGAGAGTTTGAGTGTTAGCCAAGGGATAGGGATTATACGATGATAACAAGCACACATTTGAAATAGTTGACCCATAGAAGCAGGCTAGCAAGGAAGTGTAAACAGGGAAGATGGATGGAGGGGAGGAAGAAGGGAGATAGCTGATTGTTGTTTTATTGGACTATAAATGTAATTAGCATACAAGGTTACTGTGACCTGCCTCCAGTCCAGCTGTCCAGACTCACTTGTCATCACTCCTCTCCCTAACACCTACACAGGCACACACACCTCTAGACACTACTTGCAATTCTTTACACAGCATTTTCACTCATGCTCATCCCTCTACTTAAATGCCTCCCCCAACCCAACCTGTCCATATACTTAGCAAGTATACTGCTCATCCTTCAAGTCTCACTTGGCTTACAAGACATTTCCTCTCAAATTTTTCCTGACTTATTCAGGCAGACTTAAGCTTTCTTCCTTTGCTTGTACATTGTGTTCCTTTCCCCTGTATCCTATGTTTACCTCCTTCAGATAAAAGATTATAAGACCAGTAATTGCTTATCATTAGATTCCAAACCTTTTGGGACTTTGTTTTTTCATCTCTGTATCTCCTATACCTGACATATATGCAGTAAGGAACCAGTGGCTGGGTAGATAGATGGACAAATGCAAGCATATAATTTCAATCAAAGCTTTTAAATTACCTTTTTCCTAGGTCTCAATTTCTCTCTCCACTCCTTTAACTCTTGGCTGTGTTCCTCATCTAACTCCTTTAGTTTCTGAGTTTCATGTTCAACTAATAAGTGACATTTTTCATTCTGAAAATAAAGTTTGGGTAAAAAAAAAATCTCAGATCAATTAAATAAATTTTCACAAATACAATTATCCTCCAAAATAATAAACTGCTCAGGTTATTAATGAGATTCAAGTTCCTTTCTAAAAATCAGTTATTACTCACATAAATCTTGTCCTTTGATTTCTGTAGTCATTTCATTTTCTTTAGAAAGTCTTAGCGCTTGCTAAAGGCTAAATGCATATTTCCTTGATCGATAGATGAATGCAAGTTTAGTATCTGTATCTACTACTTACCATATCAAGAGTTTCCACAGAAATAATTAGTCTTTGTTTATCCTTTCTAAGAAATTTTGCTCATAAAACTGACACTTTAGAAAGCAGCCTGTATGCACTTTATCTGGCGATACTAGTATACGGAATAGTTAGTAAATGAATATGCCTTCATAGTCCATAATTTTAATTTTATTCTGAAATTTAAAACATTCTAGGCTAGATCCTCAGGAAGCTATAAACTCGAGGTATAGTCCCAAAAGGGTCCTCTCTCAAAGTAACCTTTTAAAAATTTCCATATATTTTATCTCATATTTTTCAAAAACCTAAAAGAAAATGAACTATTTCTCTCTACATGCAAATGAATTCTAATTCAGAATCTGAAAATAAAATTGCCTAATTCTTTAAAAAATTCTGTATATATATCCTTTTAGCAAAATATGCTAAAAACATAGAATACTGCTTGTGAGAGACTCAATTTCTTAAATTATAATCTAGCTGCATGGTTTATGCTAATCATGGTTAAGGAAAACCTAAACAAGTGCCTCCTCTACTAGACTGATCTTCAGTACCGTCTACACAGCAAATTCAGTCTTAAGTCCCAGCGTTTTCACAATTAATGTGCAGTTTAGTTATTTTTTTCTGAAACCAGCCACTGTGCGGCCCATCCACATGTTGCTGTAGCTGACCTGGAGCTGATGCAGTTCTCGGACGTTGGCTTCACACTGCAACTGAAGATCCCGCATTTGATTTTCATGTTTTTGATGCTGAGCCATTCTCTCATTTTTCTGCCTCTTTTCTTCTTGAGCAGCAAACTATAAATAAGAAAAGCAAAAGATAAATTATGGTTAATGGGCATTATAATTCATGTATATTCTATAGGTGTGATATAAGAAATTGAACAAAACTTACAATACAAGAAACTAACGCTGCAGGTAATAATCCGCTAGCATTCAAAGCTGGAGTCTCCATCGTGACTTTAGGAAGGACTTCAGATTGAAACCTAGATGCTCCAATCTGCTTAGTGACATCAGTTACCTTACACAAAGACCCGTGACTGCAGAAGAGCCATAGTGAATCTATGTATTTACCTAGAAGTCTGCCCAAGTCAGCTCACTTCCAGGGCTGCTCTAGTACAGAGCACAGAAAGAAGGGCTTTGCCCTTACAGAAGACTAGGTTGGTAGATGCCGTATATCTAGTCCCAGCTCATAGAGATGATCCGAACCTCAACAAGCTCAAGGTGGCTCTAATTATTTACAACACAATTATGTAGAATTTTTTTAAAAGTCATTTAAAACCTGCAAGAGAAGAGAGTAACTGACTTATTTACCTGTTTAATTTTTTCACGGTCCTGATCTGGTGTGGCTATGGAGTTAATTCTCAAACTTTTCTTAAACATGGCCATTCGAGTCTTGGCTTCACTGCGCTGAATCTTGGGCAGTCTTGCTCTTTCTTGAGTCTGTCTGTTTTTCAATTCCTCAATAAGTCGTTGATTGTAACGCTGCATCTGTTCTGTTTCCTAAGAAAGTTTTAAACACAATCCAATGATGTAGATACCGTTTAACACTCAATACATAACACATATATGCTTACACATAATTTTTTGTTGCTTCCAAAAAATTACCCTTTCTTTTTACACAGTGACCACAAAAATATCAAGCAAAAAAGCAGAATTTACAAGAAAAATAGAAGTTACTAGTACTAAGAGTCTTACATTGGATCTCTTTTGTTACGTACAAGGAGTCAGCATTTTTAAGATATTTGAATCATACACGGAGCTAAAATAGCTACCTTTGAGAAGCAAGATGAAGACCACAATGTATGAGGCCTTTAAACATAATTAGTTACCTTCCTTATAATTTGTAGAAAAGAAGTTTGTAATCATGAGCAAGATACAATTTATTACTCCAAACTTTGCTTCAGAGAAATATTAGGGTAAAAGAGAGAAAGGAACTTTAAAATCCATTCTCTTACAAATGTAAGTGGAAAAACTGAATTATTTTGCAATCTTTAAAATAAACAACAGACTGAAAAAATTTCTTTTCATTAACCTTTTCATGGCGCTTAAGAAGCTGATGTCTTTGCATGAAATACTGATCTTTAAGTTGCTGTTTTAGCATTTGGTGTTTTTCTTGTAAGTGTCTTTCTTCAAGTTCCCAAATTGCAGCTTCTCGAGCTAGGAGGAGAAAGGAATTTTCACAATGTCACTTTGATCTTTTTATTAATGTACTTTTGGTCTTTATTTTACTATTTACATAAAAGTGTTCTCTCTCTCAATATATATATATATATATATACACACACACCAATTTATGCACACACCCACATTCTAAATTATAAATAAAATTTTGTCAATGTAAAAGATATTAGTTATCTACTATTACTTTGCCTTCTGTTCTACTTCCTATAAACAGCAGACATCCGTTCTCCAACACCAAGACTCCATTAATCATTTTAATGAGAAAGAAAATAATTCAAACTGAATTAAGGGAAATAAATCCTGAAAGTCCCATTCTATCAAGTAACCATTAAGTAGGCAGAAAATCATAAGGCATAATGAGTACACAAAACTATTCTTGCCTCATCTGAAAAAGATGATCTTATAAGGATTACTTTTGTTCACTTCTACTTCTAGAAATTCCTTCTATATCCTGTATAAAATAATTCTATTTCTTCAGTTTTTTTCTCTTATTTCCTACAATTTTTTTTTTTAATCCTTTTCTCTACTGCCCTAGCAAGGAGCACATTGACTCCATAGGATAAGCACTGGACTGAGAACCACAACTTGGTGGTTCGAGCCCACCAGCTACTCCGCCAGAGAAAATAAAGGCTTCTGCTCCCACCAAGACTTAAAACACCTCAGAAACCTTACACAGGGCCACTATGAGTCAGAATCAACTTAATGGTGCTACAGACTAATAAGCTAGACCAAAAAGTCGGTTTCAACAAGATCGGTGGTTCAAGCTCATCAGCTGCTCTCAGAAACCCTATACAGGGTCGTTATGGGTCAGAACCAACTCTACAGCACTTAACAATAACCACTACTACTACCCTATCAAAGGAAAGCATTCATGTAATGTCCAAGTTCTATCTTTGCAATGCTTTTGATAGCACTTTACATCTGCACACATACTTGACAATTCCACATACCTCTCATGAGCTGTTGTTTATTATTCAGGCACTCTCTCTCAATATTGGCTAACTCTGCCTTCTGCTGTTGGATGATCTTTTTCAAAGAGCCATCTAATTCTTGTTGTTGCTTCTGAACAAACTCTTGTTCCTTTAGATAGTTAACCACAAGTTAGTAATACGCATAAACAATCATTTAGCTATGTAACTGTATGTATTAGGGCCTAACAAGATTTTTCAACCCAAATTTACTAGATTTAGAAATCATCAAATTATATAGTAGATATGTAACATAAATGTTTTAGTCACTCAGTCCAAGCCCAGAAAAATACTTGTAATACACAATATTCTAAATTTTCTGTTAAGAATGATATGCACAAAATAAGCATATACCCCATTTATAATTTAAATGCCTATTAACACTGGCATCTTTGAGGAAACAGTACATTTACAGCTTCTAAAATAGACTATTCCACTATGATTTGAATAAAACAAGAACAAATTATAAATGCCTTTTAGGAAGAAAGGCAGTAGTAGTTAAAGAATAACACAGGTAAAAAACATCAAATTTTCTTTTTCTATAAAATGGAGAATTAAGAAGAAATATCATGGTTATACTAACAGAGAAAGATAGTGCCTATCTCTACAGCTTGTGTCTAAAAATTAGAACAATGGCTTGAGGACTTAAAAGGGAAATAATGCATCACTAGAGAAAAGTGAACTAGGAATAAAACAAGAAAGTTACGTATTATAAATCTATAGCAAAATTCCATAGAATTAGAATTTTACTAACATGATTCATTTGGGATTCATTCATTCATTTAATAAATATTTGAGTACATACTATTTGCCCAAATGTTAATTTTATACTTAAAAGTCTTCAATTGCTGTATAAGAAAAGGAACTTATTAAGTGACTTGTCATTTTAATGCTAGATCATGTATTTATAGAATGAAAAGGATAATGTCTAAATTAAACATAAATGGTGATTACACCAGTGTTTGACTAGCTCAAACGATATACAGATCCATTTGGATTTGGAAATTTTGGATTGAAGAAACACTCCCTCATAATCCCTCCTCTTGCACATCCACAAAGGAAAAACTCAAGATTGATAGAGAATTCCTAAGACTCGGACAGAGTCTGCTCTGACCTGCCCAGTCTTCACAAGGGAGGAGCCTAGTAGTGCTCCTCAAGAAGTTTATCTCACTACAGTGTTTCTGGAGTTTCTGTGTGATACAGGACTACGAAAGGTTGGCAATTTGAACCCACCCTTAGGTGCCTTGGAAGCGAAGCCTGATGATCTGCTTTGAAAAGGTCACTGCCCTGAAAACCCTGTGGGGTTAGTTCTACGCTGCACACATGGGTTGCCATTAGTCAGGATCAACTACACAGCAGCTGGTTTTGATCTGGTGCCATGTTTCTGGAGGCCAGAATCAGTTCCTTACAGTTTATGCCATCCTGTTAAAGTCATTTAGAGTAACAACTGCTGTCTCACCTGTACCATCAGTGATATTTTAATATAAATACAAATATACAATGTTTCAAAAGACTAATAAATTACCTTTATGAAATAAAATTACCAACTTGACTACAGTCACCTATATAAATTTATTAGAGCCAAAGAAATTCAATGAATATTTAAATTCAACTATCTAGAATAAGGAGTCCTGGTATGGTGCTGTTGGCTAAGCACTAGACTTCTAACTGCAAAGTTAGCAGTTCAAACCCACCAGCTATTTCTCAGAAACCCTATATAGTGTCACTGTGAGTCAGAACTTAACAACAATAACAATCTATAATAAGGGCTTTGGGGCTTTTTATTTAAATTAAAATACAAAAATTTCCATTACTGTCTTTTATGCCAAGGATCCCTGGTGGCATGGTGGGTTAAGCACTGGGCTGCACCAGAAGAAGAATGAGGCTGTTTGCTCCCATAAAGATTTAGTCTTGGAGGGCTGATAAGGAGTCAGAGTCAACTCAACAGCAGTGGGTTTGATTTTTTTTTTTTTTTTGCTTTATCTTTTAAACCATTTTAATAAAAATAAATTGCTCAAGCTTCTCTATACTGTCTCTTTTTTCCTACAGTAAATAATATTTGTAACAAAAATTATTTCTCTAAATTTGTTGCAAATTCCTTTTTAATGTTGCAAAATGTCTGTACGTAAACTTCTTTAGATATATCAAAGAACTCTTTTGTTCAATAGTCTTACCATTACATAAATGTTTGTTTTTTTTAAATATATGTAGACAGGAATTGTTGTTGTTGTTGTTGTTGTTAAGTGCTGTGGAGTCAGTTCCGACTCATAGCGACCCTGCACAGGGTTTCCGAGGCTGTAAATCTTTACGGGAGCAGAATGCCTCATCTTTCTCCCGCGGAACTGCTGGTAGTTTCGAACTGCCGACCTTGTGGTTCACAGCCCGATTCGTAACCACTACGCTACCAGAGCTCCTTGTAGACAGGAATAGTGAGTGCAAATCTTGCATTTAGGCTTAAAGAAATCAAGTGCAAGAGTATAGGATGAGATGAATAAATAAATCATTTGTGTGATAATAAAAAAGGTAATATAAGCCAGAGTTACTACATAAGTGAATGCAATTTCTGATCAGTTCAATCTATGGTCAGAGTGCTACACATATTTATGTCTAGACTACGCAAGGTAAGGAGTCCTGGTGTGGCACTGCGGGTTAATGCACTAGACTTCAAAGTTGGTTGGAACTGCAAGGTTGATGATTCAAGCTCACCAGCCGCTCCTCAGAAACGCTATACAGGGTCACTGTGAGTCAGAACCGACTCAAAAGCACTTAACAAGAAGCAGCAGCAGCCAGGTAAGATTTCACGTCAAATAAAACCTTTATTAAGTGCTGAGCAAATGCTGGGCACTATATTTAGGTATACGGAGCCCTGGTGCCACTGTAGGATAAGCACTGTACTGCTGACCACAGGCTGGCAGTTCAAACCCACCAACCACTCTGAGGGAGAAAGAGGAGGATTTCTGCTCCCATAAGGATTTACAGCCTCAAAAACCTTATACAGCATCACCAAGAGTTGAAATCGACTCAATGGCAGTGGTGGGGTGAGAGGTATTTAAACACAAGGGTTACAAACATTACTATAATTTTTGCCTTTAAAGACTGTCTACATTATTGGCCCCAAGTACTTTTTTGTTTTTCAGACCAAAGAGTAGTGGGTCCCTTAGTATCACACTCTTGTAAGTTCAAAAATAAATCACAGCAAATTCAAAGTTGGAAATAAGGGGTCCAGAAACTCATAACTGGAGAAATCAGGGAGTCATGCTCTGAGCAGCTAATACATAAAAGGTACAGAACACTAAGATATACATAGACACAGGTATCACTAGCATTGTCAAATAAAGACTAACATAAACCTAACATATGCAAGTGCTTCCCTAGTCAGGGCTAGCAAAGTTATTAGCTGCCTTCACCATAGAATGGTTCCACTCAAGATCAAAAGGTCAGCATTCACCCAAAGACAAAGTTCAGAAGAGTTGGGAAAGGAAGAGGAATGGAAAAAAGAATCAGGGGGGGAGTAGGATAAGTGATGTCCCATGGAGAGAATTGCAAGCATTGAAATGTAACAAAGAGTATGACTTGTTGAATGTAAAACTGATGATCTGCTCTCTAAACCTTCACTCAATTCACAACAAAAAATTTAAAAACAAAACAAAACTGGTTTTGTAGAGCTACGGACCTTGAACAATTAAAGCAGAGTCTGAATAACTTATGTGTCTAGTCATAAATAATCTTTATACTCGATCTAAAAATTACCTAATTTCTCACACTTATAAATGTTATTTTATTACCACAAAGGAATTAAGTTGTAATATTACTAAGTTGCCATTAAATTTCCTGAACTCAAAAGTCAAGTACAATATGTTCACAATGGAATCTGTAATTAGAAATTATTCTTATGAATAATTAAAAGAGATCTTACATTTCAAATAAATTGAGCAAATATCATTAACCTTAGAAAAAAGGCAATAGATGGATTTGATCACTAGGAGGAACACATAAAAGACAACACACCAGAAAACCCAAACTATTAAGATCAAAAGTCATCTTTTTAAATGGACACATAGATTACAAAATGAATGTCTTTTAAATATACATATATAAGGAATTTTATGTTAATCAAGTAATTATAAACATTAAAGACACAACTTTGGTTTCCAGAAAATTGTAAGAAAATGCTATATTGTGTCATTTGTACAGAATCTGACCATTTAAAGGCAAAAGAAAGGTTAAAAATGGTAATGATCAGAAAAGTGACTATAATTCATAATTTCCCCCTCTTTAAAAAAGTCAATATTTTGCTTACTCTTTTAGAAAACTATAAAAGAATCCAACAGCTGTCAGTAAAAAAAAAAAAAAAAAAAAAAATCTAATTCCAGGAGAGGGGAAAGGAGGAGTTGAAATCAAGCTGTATTCTATCTACTCCAGTTGTGTATATCAAACATCACAAACAAAAATTATAGTGCTAAATTAGCTAGTCGATTCCCTATGGAAACTGTGAGAAAGAATACAGCCTGGAATTCCAGACTTAATTTAAAACTACAGTTAGGAGAATAGCAACTCACTATTCATTATTGAGAATTTGTATAAATTACAACTAGTGTTAAATGGCACTTTTAATATGGCTTTTCTGACCATACCCATAATTTTTTAAATCTACATAAACATATATGCAATCAAAATGTCACTTCACACAAAGACAAAAGTCTAATCACACAGCATTCAATTTCTCACATGTGCAGAACTTTAAAAATACTACTGGGAAGCCATTTTAATTTAAGATGGAAATCACTGGTTTAAATTGTAGGATAGAGTAGATGGAAAGGGAACACTACATTAGAAGTGTTCTAGTTCCAGCTCTTCCATTAATCTCCTGTGTGGCTTTAGACAGATCACTTAGTCTTCTGTGCCTCGTTGTCTTCCTCTGTAGAAGGAATATGCTCAATATCCCTTCATTTGACCATAACCATCAAACGTAAAAACTCCTTGAAGAATACTGGATTATCAAGTTCATGTCAGGTTATTACTATTTCTGTCATGTCTGACACCATTACTTATCAATCTTCTAGATTTTAGCAAATGAAGTCAACAATGAAAAGGCACATGTGAGTCAAAGAAAAAGCAGATAAAACAGAAGAAGGCCAAGAAAACATTTTAAAAAAACCAGAAGAAAGCATTCTCCTACAGACACAGGGGACTTACGTCCTGCAATTGGGGGGCGTTGAAGACTGCACAAGATGACAACTGAAAAGACTGAATCATGACCTGAGCAACACCCTGTGGAGAATACAATGCACCTCCTAGGTGAGAATATATCTGAATGGCTTTTTGCAAATGGAAAGACTAATTATACAAATACTGAGTTTCCTGCGGCCTACAAGAAGTCACTTAAGAGAGTAAAATGAAGGATTTGAACTAGATCTGTAGTTTCCAAACTAGTTAGCTGCTGTTGGTTTCCAGTCAGTAGAACCCCCTCTGAAAAACTAAGAAAACATCGCAGTTTTAAAACATAAAAATGGTGCTACTTTGGCTGAAGTAGAAGCCAGCAACACTCGGAACACCTGAGAATACAATTTGAAAATCTACTGGACTTAACGATCACATACATTCTAGCTCCATGACTCTATAGTTGGTATTTATGAGGTGTTTTTTGTTTTTTTAAGTTTAAAATGAATTCTAGAGTTATCAAGTTTAAGCACCTTCATCAAAAGCAGCAACCAAATACTTTTGAAATTGGTACAGCAGTCTTATTAAATTGAGTATTATTCTCTTCGTATTTATTCAAAACATATTCAACAAGAGTTTGATATGTTACCTGTTTTAATTAAAACATATATTTCTTTAAAGTCAAGACCATATTGTTGTTGTTGTTGCTGTTGTTAAGTGCCGACCCATAGCAACCCTGTAGAGGGTTTCCAAGGAGCAGCTGGTGAGCTTAAACCGCAGACCTTACGGTTCAAACCGACTTTGCAGTCCAGCACATTACTGGTTTAAAATCCACATTATCCAAAAGTAAGTGGGATCATCAACGATTTCTTTCCTCTTCACCTCTATATAATAAGGCATGGCCACCAACCACTGGGTCAAGCTGATAAAGAGCTGAGAGCAGGTATGCAGAAGGGCGCTTATTAAGTATCATGAGAGGGAGCATTGTATGACAGATCTAGTGCACGAAGTGTGAAACTAAACTTGCCTGGATGCAAATCCTCTACCCCTACCCAGAGATGTGACCTGAGAGTCATGCAACCTTTCTGTGCTTTACCATCCTCACCTGTAAAACAGAGATAGTAAGAGTAATTGTCTCAACATAAGCAGAAGCACATTCCTCATGCTTTATCCTCATCTAAGAGATGACAGCAGGGTGGGGTGGGGAGTGGGGTAGTGGGGAGAGTGGAACTGCAATAAAAGCTTGTGCCTGCCTCCAGAGATTTTCAAATCATTTTTCATGCCACACTAAGTCGTTCTGAAGGAGGCATGGGAGAGTGGACAAGTACTCTTACTGGTGGAGTGTTGGTGTGGCACTGTAGGATAAGAACTGAACTGAACTTGGAAATCCTGTACAAGGATGTTATGAGTTGGAACCGGCTGGACAGCTCTCAACAACAACCCCCAGTGGTGTCACTTTGTAGACTTCAGTAAAACCACTGACAAGTTCTGTGGGCTTGTTTTCTTTCAAACTTTAATTCTTACATGTTAACATTTTTTTTTGCTTAAGAGTCACACAAGAAAGATGGGAGAAAACTGTTATCTTCTCAATAGTTCTGCAAATTTTTAGGCAGAAAAATGACAGATGCCTAGAGTTTACCTCATGTTTAATTAAAATCAGTATTTCTCTTAAAAAAAAAAAAACAGGTAACTGTCTCATGTTTGTTGTGAGCTGATGAATATATATATATATACACATGTAAAGCATTTAGATCAGTACTTAACACATAGCAAATATAGTTTATTACTATCACCTTAAATCAACAATCCTCTTACTGGAACAAGATAAAAAATTTTTATTGATTCATGGAAGTAAAAATAAAACCTAATTTTATTCAAATAAACCCATTTTATTAAAATTCAAAATTACATTTTCCATATTTTTCTTAAGCATTAAAAATATCCTTCCATCTGAAATGATGGAGACGAGTAAAGGGAAATTAAAATAATATTCTTACTTGGCAAATTTTATTTTTAATAGCAATCCACTTGACATAGCTCCCAATAGTTTTTGTTGTTTCTTTGTTTAAATGGGTCTATCTTGATGTGGCAGTATAGGATAAATACTGGATTACCAACCCCAAGGTCGGTGGTTTCAAATCCATCAGCCACTCCTCAGGAATTCTACACAAGGTCTCGAAGAGTCAGAACTGACTCAACGGCTCTTAACAACACCATGAAATCCAAAAGTCTAAGAAATACTTTTTAAATCACATAAAATCACTTTATAAAGATAATTCAAAGTAACAATACATAATCCATATTTTTTCTTTCTTTCACTAACATATTAACTAAAAATTGAGCTTGCTTCTCTATCTTTAATTCTAGGCTGAGTGCAAATTTATTTAAAAGATTTACACTTCTTAATATAAAAGACTTTGTTAAAAACTTGTGAAATAGTTCAAAAGATTTGTTGAAAATAATTTCATCTAGTTTTATATATAATTTACTCATCTTTATTACCCTTATCATAACCTAGAATCAATTAGTTCATTCTACACAGTCTATTCTTTTACTGCTAGATTTTTAATATTTCTGAATAAAAATAATAGAAAACACTGAATATTTAAAACTTGGCTTTAGAATTTTTAAATAATCAAGTTTAAGAGTGAAAATATTTGATCTACTATTTAAGGTTACCTTTTACCACTCTGAACTTAATAGGAATTAATACCTTTTACTAAGTATTCTTTTCATATGCACAAAGCTTATAGACTCACCCTCTATCTGTTCTAAAAGCCTTCTATCAAACACTGGCATTACTGCTTAAAAATACAAGCTCCCATGATATTAATACCTGATAACAGAAGATTATACATTAACATGTTTATTTCATCTGGAGTCAGCTTCCCAAACATTGCACTGAATTTCCTATTAGTAACTTCCATGTCACCATTAGTGTGGATTTAGTACTACATAAAGAGTGTCCTGGGTTCCTCTGAATGGGAAGAAGTCATAATCACATATCCAATGCAGTTAACAATTTCCCTTTCAATCATGTTATTGAGCTGTGAGAACAATGCCGCTTTCTGTTTTTAGTAGCATTAAGCTGCTGCTGTTACCTGAGCATGCTGGCTTTGTGCAAGCTCCTCTTTCCTGCGTTTCATGAGCTCTTTTCTCAGCTCTTTGGGTGCTTTCTCCACTTCATTTACAACCTACAGTGTATAAGCATGCAGGAGGTGGGGAAATAATACTTTCTCCACAGCAAGCATTTATGTGAGCAGACAAGCTACAAGTCAAATTATTAAAGTTGTTAAAAAGTTCTTTAAACATGCATTAGCATAGGTGTTAGTTTGGAGAAAAAGAATGAAAGGACAGAAGATGCTTGATCTCAGCGCAGGAAGAGACATAACACCATATCAAGGTTACTTAATTGCTTAATTATCCCTATTGATCATTTTCTCTCTTAAAGGTCCAAAGACAATCAGTGAAGAATTATTTGCAACATTGATGCTGAACTAAATGTGATAAACTCAACTGACTTTTTTGAAAGACCATAAAATGACAAATGTATCTATTGACACAGTTTGAAAAATTGAACATAAGCTAACGTCACTTACAAAAGTGTAAAATTTCTTAAGTGATTTGATAATATTACCAAAGAAATAACTAAAATGAAATCCACTTCATGGGGCCAAAAAAATAGAAGAAATTACAAGGAAGAAATTAATGAATACAAAGTTAATTTGTTTTTCATAAAACACACCATTTTTTACACAGTGTGATAAAAATGAACATACATGATTTTGTGTAAGATAATGTTTTTCTCTACTGGAAATTTAAGCAAGTTTCATTGTCAACTTTTAACTTGGTAATATAAACACTCCTAAGAATATGTTTAATAAGCTGTGACTTAGGAGCACTGTGGATCTGTAGGCTAAACACTGAAGTGCTAACCACAAGGTCAGCAGTACAGGCCCACTAGCTTCTCTCCTCAAGGAAAAGATGAGGCTTTCTGCTCCTATAAAGGTTATAAGCCTCAGAAACCTATACAAGGTTGCTATGAGTTGGAAACAGCTTGATAGCACTTTACAACAATAAAGCTGTGACTTACTATGCTATATGAAGTACAGATAAAGTATATTTTAGAGCACCTCTTTAATCAATTCAAAACCCTAAATAGATATGAATTCTAACAACAGATCTGCAGTAAATACGACTATAAAAGCAATCATGTGATTACAAGTAGAAGCACCAAAAGACACCATATTCCAAATCACCACATGCTACTGATGGGCCATAGAAGAGACTGGTTTAAGATTTACCACCGTGTATTTAAAATTTCCCACCAATAACCATTCATGAAACCAAAGCACCATTAAAAGGAAGAAACTCCCCAAATGCAAGAAGTTTAGTGATAAGAAAAAAAAAAAAAAATTTTAATGTGTAATTATGATCTCAAACACGTTCACTTGTTAAAACTCTATTACAAAATGAAAACAATAGATTTTCATATATTTATGATTAGACCATTATTTACCCATACATTTTGTTTAATCTAGCATAAAGAATAACCTCTTTATAAAAACTACCCATGGTTTTAACAAAGTGACATGCAATCCCAGAAAAATTACACATCATAATATATAAAGCATTTCTGTACAAAACATTCTGCTTAAAGAAACTATAAAATGCAATGCATTCTTTATTGTTAAACAGATTCTTAAGATTTATTAATACGATGTTAAAATTTCATCATAATTTAAAAGTGAAATTCAATAATTACGAGTATTTATGATATATAACACAAGTGAAAGTGCATTTATTAGCTCAGTTGATATTTTTTGTTCCAACCCTAACAGAATTGGTAATAATTACTGTCCCTGGAATCTTACATATCATAAAAAGGTAAATCCTCTTCCTATACTGATGGTATAGAATAAATCATTCTCTCTGATGATTGTCTATAATGTAAAGCTCTGTTATTTTCACTTTCATTTAGGAACAAAAAGACACACTAATATTTAAATCTCCCTCTGAATCAATGACAACCTTTCATAGTAAATATCATTATAAATTCATTCTGTAACAATACAGAACAGTTTCAGTAAAAACTAAAAAAACTTAAAACCAATGACCTTACTAATATTTCTACTTAGGGCTCTTCAAAACAGCCCACAATCTGATGAACTTCTAGGTATTTTTGAAATTTCTGATTACTCAGTTTTTGTTTTGGCAGAATGTTCAAGAAAGACAAATAACTAATCAAGAGAAAAATTGTTAAAAATGTGAATTAAAGATGACAAATAAAAAGTGAGGAAACTATTTAGTACTGCCACCTTCAAAATCAATGTAGTTAAGTTTTCTTCTAAAAATATTTCAACAGAAGGCTTTAACTATAGCATGAATAAAGGAAAAGTGGTAGAGTGCAGAAAGTTAAATTAGACACAATGTGAAGATTTGGTTCAAGGTCTATCTGGGCCCTTACTGGTGCTCTGTGAGGCTGAGCAAGCCCTTAAACCTCTCTGACTCCAGTGTTCTTGGAAATAAAATGGTGCTACTGCCAGGCCTTACTACCACCATATAAGACAGCTGGGAAGACTGAAGACAATAACAGATACTCCTAAATGTGCATAAAATAGCTCTAATAATTAAAATCAGTAGTTATACTTACCTCCTTCTTTCGGTTCTTTAGCATATTCTGAAATTTGGACAGCTCTTTCTCCTGTTCTCCTTTAATGCGTTTGGCTTCTTCTCGTAAACGATTTGTGTGTTCTTGTTCTAGACGTTCAATAGTCTGTTTCTGCTGTTTTTCTAGATTCTCAATTTCTTGGTCATATTGTCGCTTTTTACTCTGTAAAACAATGTAACCCAAGATCATTTCATATTTTAATTCACTAAACATATTAACTAAAAACATGTAACCAGCATTTAAATTTAGTGATGTGATAAAATCTTCACAATACTGAAGTCATCAAATTTAATTCCTCACTACTTCGGTCAAAATTCACTAAATATGCTATGAAATTCTTCAAAAAGATGAACAGTTAATTTGCTTCTAACATGGAAAGTATTTTTTCTGTTACAGAACTAACAAAATACTAAAATATTTCAGGTAATCCAGAAAAATTTCTGGTACAATGAAGTATTAAGTAGATGAGAAAATGTCAATATTTATTCAATAAAATTTTTGATTACGCAAGGCCTTACTTGAAGTCTATTTTAATAATATAGCATTACTTGTCATTTTCAGGTCTATTCTTACTAATTAAGATTCTTAAAATAAACATTCCATTTCACTGAAACAAATCTTTTTAGAATTATAAATCTATTCTTTCAACAGAAAATCCTACTTATTATATAATAGTAACACTGAAATCTTTGATTTAGGTACAGTTAATTAAGTATTTGGAAAGAGTCATTTCTTAAAAATAATGAAAGTTAAAAATTAAACATTTTGGAGAGAAAAAAGTGTGACTACGGCTTTGGAAAACAGATTGTAAGTATTGTAAAAATATTCAATGAGAACATAAGTAAATTATGTCCTTAGGGACTGAGGTAGTGGTGGTGGTGGTGTGCCTAGGAGTCGGTTCTGACTCATAGCGACCCTGCACAGGGTTTCTGAGGCTGTAAATCTTTATGGAAGCAAAAAGCTTCACCTTTCTCCCATGAAACAGCTGGTAGTTTTGAACTGCTGACCTTGAGGTTAGCAGCCCAACTTGTAACCACTACGTTACCAGAGCTACTTAGGATCTGAGTTATGGTCCAATAAATGTAATAAACAATGCCAAATTTAGCACAAAACTTACTATTTATAATTTTAAGTACAGCAAAACAAACACTGATTTTCAATTAAAATGATCAGAATTTTAAATCACAATGTTACTCTTCTTACATCTTTGGACAAGACCAAAACTGAAGGGGTTCAGTAGCAATTACACTAGACAAATAAGGACTATTTTCTCAAGCCGCTGTTGAAGGGAAGTAATTAGTGACAGGAAGACTGGGATGGAAGATTCTTTCAAGTCAAAAGAGCAACAACAACAAAGGCATCCAGACCACCAAAGAGATAAAGGCTAGCAATATGTCAGAAAGCCAAAAGATCTAAAGAATCAGAGAATACATTCTAAATCCTGCTAGCCTTTTTGTTAATTTCTTTTTTTAAGCACTAGACTACATTATTAACAAAAGGCTACAAAAGTTTAAGACTTTACCATCATTTCTTGCTCAAAGCGCCGGAAAATTTGTTCTCGTTGTTGCTGCAGTTTATTATTGAGCTGCTGTTGTGCTCTTTGCTCTTCTTTTTGAAGAAATCTTAATTCCCGAAGTTCCTGACGTCTGATAAGATACAACAGTAATGATAAGGAAGATAGCAAATATTACCTTTGAAGTAATTTTTAAACTAACACATTTTTTTGTTTCAAGCAGAAAAGTATTAAAAGAAAAATGCAAAATGAGCCAGGAATTTACCCTGGTGTCTCTAGTCTTCAGACTTGTAAAGTCCCCAAAACAGTTCTAATTATGTTGTTACTCTACTCACCTAAGAAACCTTAATTCTTCAGTTTTGGAATCACTATCTGTAACTATCTTTGATGTTGTTACACTCACTTCTACACCATCAACAACAAATTTGCGTGTTTTCTTCAATGTTTTCTTTTGTCTTCTTGTTTCCTGAGTGAGATTTTATTTTAGTTAGTCTTTATAAGCACTACTGGAGTGAAAAAAACACACATCTTTTAACAGCGATGACAACTATGACAATTACCCGTATAAAATGTGACTATAAAGCAGTAGTGATCATCTATGGAGGAGGCACACAAGTGCAGTGGCTCTGCAGAATAAGGACTAAAAGTTGGCAGTTTGAGCACACCAGCTGCTCCTTGGGAGAAAGATGAGGCTTCTGCTTCTGCAGATTTATAGCCTCAGAAACCCTAGAGTTGCTATGAGTTAGAACCGACTCAATGGTAGTTAACAACATGGAAGAACCCTGGTGGCAAATGGTTAGGCAAACCTAAAGGTTGATGATATAAATCCATCTAAGGAGCTCTGGTAGCGTAGTGGTTACGAATTGGGCTGCGAACCTCAATGTCAGCAGTTCGAAACTCCCAGTTGCTCTGCGGGAGAAAGATGAGGCATTCTGCTCCCGTAAAGATTTACAGCCTCGGAAACGACTCCACAGCACACAGCCACTATAGCCACAGTGGCTCCATAGCTTAGTGGTTACAAATCAGGCTGTGAACCACAAGGTCAGTAGTTCAAAACTACCAGCTGCTCCGCAGGATAAAGATGAGGCTTTCTGCTCCCATAAAGATTTACAGCCTCGGAAACCCTGTACAGAGTCGCTATGAGTCGGAATCGACTCAACGACACATAACAACAACAGTGGCTCACAACGGCACATAACAACAACAGTGGCTCCATGGGAAAAAGATCTGGGGGTCTGCTTCCAGAAAGATTACAGCCAAGAAAACGCTGAGCAGTTCTACTCTGTCATACAGGGCCACTGAGTTGGGACTGGCTTAACAACATCCAGCCACAACTCAGCAGTGGGACCAATTAGGTCACCTTAAGCCGTCTCCCTTACACAATTTTATGTTAATGTAATCATATAAAACGTTCAAAGAATTATCCATTCTGAAGATGCTCACACATTTACATGTGTTACTGTCATCGTTAAGCGCCAAGTCGATTCCGACGCACAGCGACCATGAACAGGGTTTCCTAGGATTAGCTGGTGTGTTTGAAGTCTGGTGCTTATCAGACAAGGCCACACCAGGACTTCAGCTTTTACTATACCACATGATAATTAGGAAGAGTGGTAATGAGAAATTCATACAAATGACTAATTAGTATAATTTTTACATGATAACCACTTTTCTTCCTCTTTTCACTTTGTAAATTCTCACTCTGCTGTCCACAGTTTCTGAATCACCAACAAAAATACTTTAAACAAATTCCTGGAGTTCAACCCTTAAAGAACCAAATCAGAAATCTGTAGGTATCTGGAAATCTGGATTTTGAAAAGTAAGATAAATTTTAAACACTGAGAAGATTAGGAATCAATAATCTACTTAACTGTAGAATAAGCACTGGACCGCAAGGTCAGTTTGAACTGCAAGGTCGGCGGTTCAAATTCACCAGCTGCTCCTTGGAAACCCTATACTGGGTAACTATGAGTCAGAACAGACTCGATGGCACTTCACAACAACAAGTATCAATGGCCCTCCTTCACCTCTAGTAACGTTAGAGTTACGAGACAGACTGCACCTCTACTGTGTTCCAAAACCACCAAAGCCCCTACTTGTTGCTGGTGTTAAGTGCTGTCAAATCAGTTCTGATTCACAGCGATCCTGTACAGGGTTTCCAAGGTGTGGCAGGTGGATTTGAATGGTCACACCTGTGGTTAGCAGTCCAGTGCTGATCCTACAGCACCACACCAGGACTCCACATCTTGGTATGCAGGCAGTTATACCAAAATTGGAGATAGTTGCTTGTTTTGCTAAGGGTGCAAAAATGGAAAGTGATAAATTCAAAATACACTAGAATTTTAGTCTGTCCCTTTCACACCTTCCAATTACCTTTCTGCAACCTCCTATTGTTCTATTCTCCAGACTCAGTATCCTCATGCTCTCTCCCTAAGCTCTGTGGTACACTATACACACTTACTCTAAAGTCTAAAGTTGGCATGTTCCAAAAAACAGATCTACCTACGTTGGGGTAGCACTGTGAGCTAAAGCCTGGCTGTTCAAACTCATCAGTCGCTCCTCAGAAACCCTATACAGTCACTCTGATTCAGAACCAACTCAATGGCACTAACAGCAACACCTCCCCCTACCTTGCAAACTTTCCATTTCTTCAGTAAAAACATCCATGATTAATATTTCCTTAAGTATTTACATTTTAAAAGGCTATTTAAGTATAGGGTTGCTAAGCATGAAGGCCCCACTTAAAAATTCAAATATTTCATCCAGAATCTCTTTCTTTGGTTCTTTTAAAGTCATTCTTCCACAGGCCTTAAGAATTTTATAAAGTTTAACACAACACTGAGTTAGGATTGTTCTAGTTTTAAGACATCAGTTCACATAAATTCTAAATTGCCAAAATGGCAAAGCAAAAACCACCCTTGTAAACAAGGACCCACGTACACTTACTTGTAAAGACATTGACCCACTGTCTTTAGTTTTGCTTAGGAAACTAGAGATGGATAAATTCAAGTCAATGCTGCTGTTATCTGCAGTGGAACCAGTTCCTGAATCAGTATCATTTTCCTTTTGATTCTCAGATTCTGGTAGCAACACGGGTTCAGTTTTTGATAAAGCACCAATTTCTTCATTATTTTCTGCATCTTCAGAGTTGACATTAATGCTAGGTACTGAAACAGGTTGAGGCTCATTAGCCTGTGAAGTAGCAGTAACTTGAGGTTCTGTTTGAATCGGCACTTCACATGGAATCTCTTTTTGTTTTCTATCTATGTGAGTAGTGGCTTTATGAGCATCCCCAGTTTCATTTCCTAAAGTTTTCTGATCAATATGAATCATTGCACTTCCGACCTCTATTTCTTCAATGCTACCTGATTCAGTAATTTCCTCAATTTCACTCACCCCTGATTCCTCATTGGTCTCTATTATGTTCTCTGAACTGTTGACTAATGGTTCCTTCTTTTTATCTTCTAAAGATTTTTGATCTGTCTTACTAGTTTCACATGTTTCTTTAAAAGGAACCTCCTCAGCACCATCAGCCTCAGGGCCCTTCTTGGGCATACTTATTAATTTCTGGTCTGTTTCAAACACTTCACCATCATTTCCGGGAGCAACTTCAGCTTTGTTTTCAACAGTCTTCTGAAAGACATTTACTATCTCATTTGTTCCTACCACACTGCTAATATCACTGATCATTTTTTGAGTTTTGTCATCTTTTCCCAATTTATCTTCCTTTGTAAGCTTAACTTCATTGTCTACTGCTTGAATTTCTGCTTCTTTTTCTCCTGTCTCTTGAGAAACTAAATCCATTGTTTGAAGAGTTGTATCTTTAATTTCTTTAGATTTTATAAGATTATTTTCAAATGTTGATTTTTCCTGATCTCTTTCTTCCTCAGGTTTCAGATTATGTTCAGTATTTGTTTCTAAAGTTAAGACTACATTATTTTCTTTTCCTCTAGTGACTGACTTGAGATCCATGGTTTCTTGGTCTTCTGTGTCAGGCAGATTTTCAACCTTGGGTCTCTTTGCTTCTTTCCCATTCTCCTCAATTAGTACTGCTCTATTTTGGAGTCCCGCCATAGCTTCTGAAGGACCATCATTAATAAGTTCATCAATACCCTCCACTGCTTTTTTAGATTCATCAGTGGTGGGTTTTTCATCATCAACTTTTCTGCCTAATTTATCTTCAACAGTATTACGTTCTGTTTTTTCAGAGACAGATCCCAAAATACATGTATTTTGTGAAAGTTTATCCTCCTCAGAGCTGGCAATACTAAGGTCAGATGAGGCACGTTTACTTGCAGGTATTGGCTGAAAAAGAGTTCAGTAAATAAAAAGTGATTAATAAATAGTCACTGGATAACAATTAGATACACATATTTTTTTTCAGTGTGAAATCAACTCTGTTGTTGTTGTTAAGTGCCGTTAAGTCGGTTCCGACCCATAGCGACCCTGTACAGGGTTTCCGAGGGTGTAAATCTTTACGGGAGTAGAAAGCCTCATCTTTCTCCCGCGGAGCGGCTGGTAGTTTCAAACCACTGACCTTAAGGTTCGCAGCCCAATTCGTAACCACTACGCTACCAACTCTAGACAGTAAAAAATTCAACATTCTAAATTTATTTATATACGTATATATACATAAATGTACGTATGTGTAGGAGTCCTGGTGTGGCGCTGTAGGTTAATGCGCCAGACTGCAAAGCCGTTTGAACTGTAAGGTCGGTGGTTCAAGCTCACCAGTCACTCCTAGGAAACCTTATAAAGGGTCACTATGGGTCAAAACTGACTCAATGGAACTTAACAACAACAATGTGTGTGTGTGTATATAAGTTGCTAAGTGCCACTGAGTCAGTTCTGACTTACAATGCCCCTATACAGGGTTTCTAAGGAGTGGGTTGGTGAATCTGAACTGCTCATCTTGTGGTTCTTATCCCAATGCTTATCCTATAGTGCCACATCAAGACTATATATATATATGAATAACAATGATTTATTTTGTTCAGTAAAAATTGCTAATGTTAGAAAAAGAATATAAAGAATTTTAAAAGTCTTCTTAAAATAAATAAGATGAAAATAGGTTGCAATAGGCAACCTTGGTACTAATCTTTTTACATTGCCATTCATCAAATTAATCCTTAGATCTGGGTACAATCCCTCTAAGCTGGAATCTACTCAACAGCAATGGGTTTTAGATTTTATTTTAACTGAAGAATAGTGGGTTCTATTTAGCAATTAATAGCAACAAAATACAAATTATGCTGTTTTCATTTTAAATCATTTGGATAATAAAATGCTTGTAAAAACATCCATAAGCGTATTTACATACATTTCTGTAGTTCAAATGTGTATTTCTGACAGATCATACCGAATTTAAATATGTCTATAACAGTTTATAAATTTTCCCTTAGCAAAAGTTTCTTTTATGTTCAATATTAATTTTTATAAATGAATAATTTCACATAACACATTTTATGCTTAAATAAACTTTCAAAGTAAATAGTATCTCATATTAAAAAGAGTACATATACACAACCTTGGAACACCAGTGATCTATACGTATATACATGGATTGAGACATAGGGTAAATGGGTAAAGGTAGGGAAAAAAAATGTTTGACTGTCTTGTGGATATTGGTTTTTCCTGCCTTCTATTGTAAAATAGACATTCAAATGTGACAGTAATGAATACTGGCAATTATGATTACAGAAAGCATGTAAGCCCTTCTTCAGCTTCTAACTGATTGGATTTGCTAAAAGGGGAGTTAGAATTTGCTCAAGGAACTAAGCTTCTTGTTAAGTTTTGTAGAGTATGGGGCCTTAAGTGGAATCCAGAGGGTCTCACCCAAAATCTTCTGAGCTGGTGCATTCCCACTTGAAAATATATGCATACCAACCCAGAACTGATGATTCTTATTGAAAGAAAGAGTGGAAGAAAAAAAAGAGGACTAGTTGGCTGTTTGAATTTCAAACAAGCTGTTTGCTTTGGAAACATCAAGGTAAAAAAAATCAGCCCATCAGGGAAATCCCCCTTCTAGGACTGAAACTTAAAGAGAACCCCCGCAAGCACTCTAGTATGCTTGTCGATGAGTGGAAGTGAAGGCAATGTAGCAATGAAGACATGGACTGAGTTTGGCCATGTTCCAATGACACCCACTGACCTCGAGATGACAGACAGAAGAGGAAGGGTTGGCTGCTCAGAAGTTTAGGGAGATGTGTGAACTCCTGAGCCCATGGGCACTGACCTAGCCCCGGGGGGCCAGGGCTGACATTGAAATGGTCAGCTTGTCTGAAGTGCAAGGATGTGTGTGTGAACTCCCAAACTTGCAGCTAGTACCCATTTGGATGGCTAGCATATCAGAAGTCAACCAGATGAAAATAAATGATGTTTGATGCTGTCAACAAGTATAAATTGCTACAATTTGATGAACTAGACTTTTGCACATGGATGCAGTTGCTCAAAGTTCCAACCAGAATGGAAGAATTCTTCATTATCAAAGAACAAGCTTGTTTCCTCACTGTACTGGGTTGAAAGGGATGAGTAATCTAGACACTGGCTATCAAAAAATGGGGGAAGGACAAGATGCTATAAAGGCATGAAGTGGCTATCTTACAAGTTTTCATGAGTGTGTTTAGTTTCAGAATGAGGGGGGTGAGGTAGAATACCCACTGAATAGTTTTCCTCTTTTCCAGATGGATCTGGTGAAAGGGGGTGGAGGATGGTGGTGATAGCATTTTGTGATTCATCTGTGAGTAATTGTTAGCAGAATTAGTTGTGATTGGTACAACTATAATGCAGAAGATGTGTAACTAAAAAGGCGGAGTTGCTATTAAGTGCCGTAGAGTCAGTTCTGACCCACAGCAACCCTGCATAGGGTTTCTGAAGAGCAGCTGGCGAGCTTGAACCACCGACCTTGCGGTTCAAACTGACTTTGCACTTCAGCGCATTAACCCACAGCACCACACCAGGACTCCAAAAGGGGGAGTAATCTTTAACTTTATAAAGAGACGATCTCAGGACCGTCAAGAAGGAGTGCATGAATGGAGTGTGAGATCCCTACCTAGAAAAGCAGCAACAGCAGAGACCGTGGCAGATGTGGTGGCGTGGAGAGACAGAGCAGTTGCAGGCTCTTATTGGACTGAATAAGGCTGTGTGCCTGCAGACAGCAAGCTGGCTTGCAGAATGTAACCTTTGCACATATACATGACTATATAGATTTTATTTTTATATGTGTACATCAAGTATTTTTGCCTTGCTCATTTGTGAAATATAAGCTGTCAATAGGGAGCTGCAGGGGCAGTATAGGATGACTGTTGTTGTAGGGAAGGGACTGTAGTCACTGGGATGAGGCAGAGTGCATGTTTTTTTTTTAAAGTAAAATGTAAAGCTGATGATCTTGTCTGTGGACCTTCACTCAATTCACAATAAAAAGGTTTTTTTTTTTAATGTTCATGAGCAGCCATTTATGGTGCAGTTATTGGTCTCTCCCTATGGGGAGGAAAGAAGAGTGATGAAAATTGAAGACACCTGGAAACAATTCAACACTGACACTGAACCCAGAAGAACTAGATGGTGCACAGCTACCACTACCAACTGCATTGAAATGGATCACATCTGAAGGTTCTTGAAAGAAAATGTGCAACAAAACTCAAAATCATAAAAAAAAAGACTAGGCTTACTGGTTGGACAGAGACTAGTAGAACTCCTTGATCACAATTCAGGTCTGAGATGAGCTGACCTCCATGGCTCAATTTTCAGCCAAGCAATAGCTTCAACAGCAGCATTTACCCAAGGACAAAGTTCAGAAGAGTTGGAAAGGAGGAAGGAATGGAAACAAGAAACACAGGCAGGAAGTGGAGTAAATGACGCTATGTTGAGGGGATTATAAGCAATGAGATGAAATAATGTGTTTATAATTTGTCGAATATAAATGTGCATGACTTGATGATCTGCTCTCACTCAATTCACAATAAAAACTTTTTAAAAATCATACAGTTGATAAAACGTGAATTAAACAATTATTTAAGCAACTCTAAAAACTAAACGAAATTTTCTCTCTAAATACCAACCAGAGAATTTTCTGTTTCCTCATCATCATCTTCTTCTTTGCCATCTTCAACTTCTTCTGTTACTTCTGCCTTTGCTTCATCAATCAGTTCTCGGATTGGTTTGTTGGAATCAACAGTAACAAAGGGATGCTGTTGATCGTTAAAAACAGCACACTCAAGTAAGTTTCAAAGACATAAAATATACATTCTTAATGTGAAAACTCTATGGGGCAGTTCTGTTCTGTTCTATAGGGTCACTATAAATTGGAATCAACATGACAGCAATGAATTTGTTTTTGAATGTTATACAAATGTAAATATATAAGTAGGAAAAACATGGACAATTTCAGATAATGTTTCTTGGGAAAGGAGAGGGTTGAGTAGGGATAGAGGCTGCCTGCAACTATACCTGTACCTTTTTTTAAAAAAAGAATCTGAAGCAAATATATCCAAATGATAACATTCATTCAATCTAAGTAGTAGTTGATGTCGTTAAGGGCTGTCGCGTCAGTTCCAACTCATTACGGCCCTGTCAGTTCCAAAAAACAGCCGGTGGGTTTGAACTATTGGCCTTGTGGTCCTACAGTGCCATGCAGCAGGTCCATATATTTTTACTTATGCTTGAAAATTACACAATCTACCCCTGAAAGTCCAGCCTCATTTGGCAGTTAGTCATACAGTGGTGGATTTTTTGCATGTTGCAGTGATGCTGGAAACTATGCCAATGGGATTTTAGGAACAGCAGGGTCACCCCATGGTAGACAGTGTTCAGCAATCTCCCAGATTAAGACAGACTAGGAAAAAGGGCCTGACAACCTGCTTCTAAAAAAACTGGCCAGTGTACACCTTGTGAATAACAGTGGAGTATGGTCTGATACAGGGCCAGAAGATGACCTTCAGGTTGGGAGGCACTCAAACTTAGAAGAAACAGGGGAAACGTCCATTAATAAACTAGATCATGAAGTGTATGAGGTAGGACTCTAAAAAAATCAGAAGTTGTCAAAAATGAAATGTTTGAAGATAGATACCCAAGGCATTAGTGAGCTGAAACAGACTGATATTGGCTATTCCAAATCGGATAATCACATTATGTTGGAATGACAAACTGAAGAGGGATGGTGACATATGTTCAATGTCAAAAAGAAGATTTCCAGATCTATCCCGAAGCATACATTGTCAGTGATAGGATAATATCCACACTTCTATAAGGATGACCAGTTAATACACTCATTATACAAATTTATGCACCAATCACTATGCCAAAAATGGAAGATTTTTACAAACTTCTGCAGTCTGATATTGATCAAACATGCAATCAAGATATATTGATCATTCCTAGTGATTAGAACGTAAAAACTGGAAAAAAGAATCATCAATAGTCGGAAAGTATGCCCTTGGTGACAGAAATTAAGCCAGAGATTGCATGATAGAATTTTGCAAGGCCAATGAATGACCTATTTAATGGAAATACCTTTTTCAATAACATGAATAGTAACTATACACATGAATCTCACTGGATAGAATACACAGGAATTAAATCAACTACATCTATGGAAAAATACGATGAAGTATAGCTGAATATAACCAGTTAGCACAAAGACTGGGTCCAACTATGGAATAAACTATCAATTTCTCATAAGCAAGTTCAAGTTGAAGCTGAAGAGAATTAAAACAAGTCCACAAGAGCCAAAATATGATATTAAGTGTATTTAGAGATCATTTCAAAAACTGATTTGATGCACTGAACACTAATGACTGAAGACAAAATGAGTGGTAGGATGACATCAAGGGCACCGTACACAAAGGAAGCAAAAGACCATTAAAAAGGTCAAAATATATGGTTAGAAGAGACTCTGAAACTTGCTCTTAAACAAAGACTAGAGAAAGTGACTAGAAAAAATGATGAAGTAAAAATGGACAGAAAAACTCAAAGAGCTTCTCTAGAAGACAATGCATTCTATCAATATATGAAATGACCCGGAGTTAGAAAATCAAATTAACTTAGTATTTCTCAAACTGAAAGAACTAAAGAAAAATTCAAACCTCAGGTTACAATCCTAAAGTAGTCTAAGGATAAAATATTGAACAACACTATTCACTTGATGGCATGAACAGCAGCAGCAGCAGTACTGAACAATGCACGTCAATACTGCTGCTGTTGTTCTCAGATGCCATCACGTGAGCTCCACCTCATGGTGCCCTACACACAAAAGAATGAAACATTGCCAGGTCCTGTGCAGTCTTCCGAAAAGCAAACGTGTATCATCTGCATATTGCAGATGGTTAATGTGTCTTTCGCTTTAATGTTTAGAACTATATGGGCAAACCTTGCTTGCTGAAAGGAAAATGTGAAATACTTACTTATGAGGACCAAAGACCACAGTTTTCAGTATGGGTTGCACCTCAATAAAAACAAAACAACAACAAAAAAAAACCTCACCACTGGACCCATAAATAACATCAGGATAAATGGAGAAACGACTGAAGTTGTCAAAGATTTCATTTTGCTCAGATCCATAATC